TTGTAAGCTTCGGGGTGAAAAGGGCAGCATATAAATGTTGTAAATAAATAAATATTATAATGAAATACAATATAATACTAATAGTAATATGATATTATAATTATATATTTTATATTAGATGTAATATTATTAATAATATTACAATATAATGGTATATAGTACAACATGGTAATATATAATACTGATATTGTGCTATGCTAATAATATAATATGTTGTGTGTGTGTGTGTGTGTCTATCTATCTATCTATCTATCTATCTATCTATCTATCTATCTATCTATCTATCTTGTAAGCTGCTCTGAGTCCCCTTCGGGGTGAGAAGGGCGGCTTAGAAATGCCATAAACACACAAACAAACATTTATTTATATAATAAATAAATAAAAAGCTAAGCCCAAAATTTGTGGGTCCTTTTGTCATTGTTAAAGTGATAAACCCTGTAACTGTAACATGGACACAAGGCTGGGGGTTGTGGTAGTGTGCAGAAAACTGGAATCTCTTGAGTGTGAACTTCACAAGCGACTTTCTATAGAAACCTAGGCAGTAAATTCCCAAGGAATTGGCTTGTGAGTGGGCTGCATTGTTGGTGAGGTTCTGCAGTGGCCGACGTAAAGTCGCTAGTGAAGTGTGTGCGCAAAAATCTTGGTTTTCCACTCACTGCCACAACCTCCACACTCATGTCAATGTAGCTCACTCTAGTCCAGGCATGTGCAAACTTGGGCCTTCCCTCCAGGTGTTTTGGACTTCAGTTCGCACCATTCCTAACAGCCTCAGGCCCCTTCCTTTCCCCCCTCAGCCACTTAGGCAGGAACAGCTCAGCAAGCAAGAGTCCAAAAGTGGCAGGCAAATTTGGGCCCTCCCTCCAGGTGTTTTGAACTTCAGTTCCCACCATTCCTAACAGCCTCAGGCCCTTTCCTTTTCAGTGGCTGAGGGGGAAAAGGAAGGGGCCTGAGGCTGTTAGGAATGGTGGGAATTGGAGTCCAAAACACCTCGAGGGAGGGCTCAAGTTTGCTCATGTCTGGACTAGTTCTTCCCCCCAAATCCCTGACAATTCCAATGATCCAGGTGAAGAGCCCTCCCTTCTTGAGTCGTATGGGGCCATCCCGTCCCTACCGATGATGGTGATGCACCCTTTGGCCGTGACCTCCACCACTTTGTCCATCACGGCTTTGGTGCCGTGGGCAAACTTCTCCCACTCGAAGACGCCCACCGGGCCATTCCACACAATCTGCTTGGCTCGGCCCACGGCCTCCACGAAGTTCTTGACGCTCTCGGGACCACAATCCAAGCCCTAAAAAGGAAGAAAAAGAGGATATTGAGGTTTGGCCGCTTCCCCAGAGACGAGCGGAAAGGGGACCAGGCTCGGAGGCTCTCTTGGGACCCACCATCCATCCGGCTGGGATCCCGGAGGCCACAGTGGCCTTCCCGCTCTGCGCTTTCTCGTCAAACTTGTCCGCCGTGACGAAGTCGACGGGGAGGTTGATCCGCACTTTGTTCTTCTCCGCCTTCGCCATCAGGTCCTTGACTATTTTGGCCCCTTCCTCGTCAAACAAGGAGTTGCCAATCTGGAGGCAGAAGAAAAATAATATGACATACATTTCTTTGTTTCCATAGCTGGTACATCCGTTTTTGGTATCCACATTTTTGTGGTTCCGATCTATAATAGCAGGTCATGACAGTTTGGTTCTGCGGCACTGAAAATTTCTGCCACTTCTGTAGTTGTTTTGCGCAGACAGACTACAAGCAGAGGCATAACACCATTGCTCAGATGATTAATTGGAACTTGTGCCACAAATACCATCTGCCTGCGACAAAGAACTGGTGGGATCACAAGCCGGAAAAAATTACAAAGAATGAGCATGTCAAGCTACTCTGGGACTTTCAGATTCAGACAGACAGAGTTTTGGAGCACAAGACTCCTGACCTCACGATCGTGTTAAAAAACAAAGTATGGATTGTTGATGTTGCAATCGCAGCAGTATTGCTGAGAAACAATTGGGAAAGCTGATATGATATGAGGATTTAAAGATTGAAGTGCAAAGACTCCGGCACAAGCCAGTCAAGGTGGTCCCAGTGGTGATCAGCACACTGGGTGAAGTGCCTAAAGACCTTGGCCTGCACTTAAACACAATTGGCACTGACAAAATCACCATCTGCCAGCTGCAAAAGGCCACCTTACTGGGATTGGCACGCATTATTTGCCGACACATGACACAGTCCTAGACACTTGGGAAGTGTCCGACGGGTGATCCAATTCAACGGCCAGCAGAGTGACTGCTGTGGACTCATCTTGTTGTGTTTCACATAATAATAATAATAATAATAATAATAATAATAATAATAATAATAATAATAATCTTTATTTATACCCCGCCACCATCTCCCCAGCGCGGACACGGGGCAGCTTACATGAGGTCGAGCCCAGAAATACATTACAGCAAAATGCAATAAAATAAAACAAAGCAACAGTACTAACATCACAATAGAATAGATACAACATTATGAGAGAAACGATATTAGTAGGCTACAGTTGTTGTAGGTTTTTCAGGCTATATGGACTGCCTGGTCATGTTCCAGAAGCATTCTCTCCAGACGTTTCGCCTGCATCTATGGCAGGCATCCTGAGAGGTTGTGAGGTCCCAGAGGTAATGTTTACCCTTCCCTATGCCATCCAAGGATTTTAGATAGATAGATTTGGCTGGAGTCACACTTAAGAAATGTCCCTGTCCCAACTTACACAAAAATTCAGAACAAACCTACACAACACCTATCTTGTTCATAACTCGGGGACTGCCTGTAATGCTTTTCACGCTGAATAAGGACAATAATAATAATAAACATTATTATTATTATTATTATT